TATCCTTCTTTCTACCCAGGAAGGAATGCTCCAGTTCATATTTAATTTGAACTGGAAGTTGAGCTGGTGTGTTGCCAGCTCAGACCTTCCTTCCCTTTGTTTTCCTGTACAAGTGGCTGTCCATGTTGTTCAATTTCCCTGTCAGCTACAGTACTAGAGAACTGAAAGCTGTCTCTGTTGTTTAGTATCATCTTGCATTTGTTCACTCTGAAAACAAGAAGATTTAAAACAAAAGTGAAAAAACCTCTACTGAGAGAAACAAAAGCACCTCATGTATTCCACATTCAGTCTCCTTTGTGCAGCTCCACAGAGGATACAGATTCAGGAAATCAAGTAATATAATCCAGTGCTACAGCCACAGCTTTATAAAAGTGTTGTTAGCAAGAGAAGTGCGGCATCCCAGGTATAAATACATGGTCACATTACACAAAGGCATACTTGGTGAAAGTAACTGGTATCATTATGTTTCTGGCACTTCAGCAGATTTTTTGGTGAGAAACTAAGTTCTGTGCATCTTCTTTTCCCATGTATTCTTTATCACTACTCCAGGTGTTACAGCTTTATAAAATCCTAGCAGTCTTGCTGGGGGTAGTCATAGTTTTAATTTTATCTGGTGGGAATGGGCTTTAGACTAAATTTCTCTTTCTTGATTTCCACAACAATCTGGAACACTATTGACCACCTGTGATGTTCACTTGTCTTCAGCTGGACCCAAGCATATTTGAAAGCCTGCAGAAGGAGCGAGTGGAAACTGGTGATGTTATTTATATCGAAGCAAACAGTGGAGCTGTCAAGGTAAAAGAAGAGTTCTGCACTGCTCTGCAGGTGTATGTATTGCAGACCTTTCTCTGCCTTTGTCAGAAGGCTCTGATTTATTAACCTTAACTGACATGAAATGGTTACATGGGAGTTCTAAAAAGAGCCCAGTGTTTTCCTTATCGGGAGAGAAAATTTTCTCTTGCACTGAAAGAACGTGGTCATCTGGTTCACAATTAAGGTCATCTGGCAAGAAAGCTATCACTGATGCTGTCTGGATGAGTTTTCTTTTCTGTAAGATCAAGACATCTTTAAGGGATGAGGGGGGAAACCAAGCAACTTTAGTCATTTTCAGGCTGACATGTGCAGTGTATTTAATCTTTCTTTTATCGCTCTGGTATTTTCTCCACAAGATATATACGTGGAGAAGGGAATGCTGCATTAGTTAGCATTCTTTTCATATCTGATTTAGAAAGTAGTGTACAGCCATAGTTGCTGTTTAATGGATGAGCATAATATTTTGTATCATATAATAAATCACCCACCTACAAAGGAGTCTTGAACAGTTCTTCCAATCTCCTAGTTAATCTGCTGGATTTGTCCTTTAGCAAGAATTGCATACGGTTATAAGAGGAGGAGAAAGAAATTGAATATTCTTACCACTGAAAATATCAAGTGTTTTTCAGCAGAGTTTTTTGAGCTTTGATCAGTAGATAGGGTATGCCTGTTGCCACGCAGGGAGTCGGATGTCTGAATTGTCAACTGAGGCTCATGTAGGACTGGAATTGTGAACCAGACCCTTTATCTGTATCAAGTTTGTGTCACTCAAGGTTTTGGCATGGAAACTAATTCTATACCTGGGTTTCTCTTCCTTACTTTTTCTCAGAGGCAAGGCAGGTGTGATATCTATGCTACAGAATTTGACCTTGAAGCTGAAGAGTATGTTCCCTTGCCAAAGGGTGATGTGCATAAGAAAAAGGAAATTATTCAGGATGTCACCCTGCATGACTTGGATGTGGCCAATGCTCGACCTCAGGTATCTGACTCCACAGATGAAGTCTGTGCAGAAATATTGCTTGACATAGATGTGATGGTGACTAGAATCATCTAGGAGATGCAGCAAGTTGAGCTGTCCTAAATTACCCTCAAAGATTCCACTACAGGAGAAGCAGAAGGTGTTACATCGTGAAGGCCAGTCTGCCTCTCTTTGGAGGGAGGTCATGCTGCAGGTGGCTCTGCCCTGCAGGTTAAAGGGGGAGTTGCTACGTTAGGATTCACAGAGCTAGTCATGGAATATTTATCAGAATACATTTCCCAACACTACAGGTGATGTCCTACAGCCACAGTGGAGCTTCCACATGGATATTTGGGATCATCTGCCTTTACAGTTAGTGCATAATCTCAAGCTAGCTCTCCCTTCCTCACTGGGCCCCATCCCCCCAGAAAAAGAGCAGTGTGGGCTACACCTCTTGAGCAGCAAAAGAGACTATTACTTTCTCCCCAGAAGGAAAGTTGCCTGCAGATGTGAGGCAGCAGCAGCCAGATCTGCATCATTTTATTTGAATACAGATTATTTTATTCTGCTCTGTGTTAGGGTTATTTCTGCTGTGAAATGGAAACTGCAAGCAAAAGATCACTAAGTATTTTTTACTGTTACAGATACTGTTTGTGTCCCTGCTTCCTTCCAAAATGTTTCTTAACTTCTTCTTAAATTTCCTTGTGACTTCCAGTAGAGCTCTGAACATACTGCAGCAAAAATTTGAAAGCAGGAAAAATTACTCCTTGCTGTATCTTAACAGAAACCCAGCATCAGGGGTTCATCCCTGACAATTTTAGTCCTTATGAGCTTCTCTGTGACAATTTTTTTAAGAAGATGATTTCTCATTTTGTTTTTTTTAAGTTCTCCAAATGAACAAGGCTAAAGGAAGAAAGAGGAGGTAGCTAAATTATTTTTGGAATATTGCTGCAGTGAAGTGACCTAACCCTTGACACATGAGCAGTCATTGCTGATACTAAAGTTAGCTGCAAGAAACAGTTTCTTTAACCAATCCCTGATTTGTAAAAATCCCCTGGTGTTTGTTCACCACAAGACCTAATAGCTGTAACTTTCTTTTCCTAGGGTGGGCAAGACATCCTTTCTATGATGGGACAATTGATGAAGCCTAAGAAAACTGAGATTACTGGTATGAATCCTGCATGGTATTTTTAGACCAATATAACCTATATGTTTGCAAGTTAGAAAAGGATTAAAAATAGGCACCATCTCTAAATGAATGCCTGTGTAATATTATAAATATTCAGATTTCAAAAAGCAGTGATACAGCCACTAGAGTTGTGATGGCTGGAAACAGTACAAGTTACTGGTTCACACATATGTGGATAATAGAGAGACTGTCCTCTGTGCTTATATTCCTGGGGAGAATGAGATTGGAATGTTAGTGCCACCCTCCTTTCTCAAAACACTCCTGACCAAGAATGTGAGGTTCACACTCTGACAAAGAGCCAAACTGAACAATAATTTAAAAAAAATATATCTAAAAAACGTTGCTAGTATGCATGGAAGCAACCACACAATTTCTGTGAAGCAGAAAAATGGCTTCTAAAGGCTCTAGCCTTGGTTTGGTTTAGACACCTCTACAGCAGCTTGGTGCTCTAAGTGCATTGCTGCTTTTCCTGCCTACAGGTCATTGGAAGAAAAAAAAAAAAAGATCTAAAGAAAGATAGTCCTCCCTTTTGCTTGGAAAGAAATGGTGTTCAGTTAAGTGACTACCTAAATTTAGATCAGTCTGATTCCATACCTAACTTGAATGGTGGTCTTTTAAAGTATTTCCTCTGTTCCAGAGGGCACTTTGATTATTTTAATGTCAGATTTATTCATGTTATATCCTGCATAGCTTTGAGGTCCATATGTTCACAGAAATGTATATAGCCCTATATTTTTGTTGTTGTTGTTCTTTGCTGAAATACAATAACTACATTTTATTCTTTCAGTGATATTCTTTTCAGCCATGCTTGGAAACTTCAAGTTTTATGTTTTTAAACTGAGGTTTGACTGACTTTTGAAACCCCCACCCCAAACTGTCTAAACCCACAACAACTGTAGTGCCCTACACGCTGTGTGGGAGGACAGGCTGCCCCAGTGAAGTGCTGGAAGGTCAGTTCAGAAATATTTTGTAGTGGGTGCCACAGAATTTAGCATCACAGTTTTCCCTGTGGTGGTGGTGGTAAGATACCAAACCACAAAAAAACACTCAAGAATTTTACTTCCTTCCAGTCTTTTGCAAAGCTGTGTGGCTGACTGGCAGAACAACTGCTGCTTTTTGTTCACAGACAAACTTCGAGGAGAAATAAACAAGGTGGTAAATAAATACATTGATCAAGGCATTGCAGAGCTAGTCCCAGGTGTCCTCTTTGTTGATGAGGTTCACATGCTGGATATTGAATGTTTCACATACCTGCACCGGGCACTGGAATCTTCTATTTCTCCCATTGTCATCTTTGCTTCCAACCGAGGAAACTGTGTTATCAGGTATGATGTCTAAGCTTGAATTTTCCAATTTGCTTTAGTCCATAAACATTGGAATTGGCTGTAACAGTTTGAAGGCTTTTGTCCCTGCCTGGGTTGCAAGCTGCATCAGAGCTCAAGAACTGCTTGGGAGCTTCAGGATCAGACAATTTAATGCCAGGCTAACCGAGTTAAAGCACAATGGAATTCCTCCTTTTATTTGCACTGACCCATCACTCTTCCTCTAACAGCTTCTGAATTGTCTTACTTCCTGGGTGATCTGTAACAATTACCTTTCTCATTGGATGCACATCTGTTGCTTGCACATTAGGGATCTAAAAAGCACCAAGACTACAAACCTCTAATCTTGTAGCTTCCTGCTGCTTCTGGATTGTTTTTCTGTTTGCTCCCCTCATTGCTCCAGATTTAAGCTTCCTGTTCTTACTGTTAAAGCATGTCACAGTTCACACTCTCCCTACCCTTCATTATTTCCTGTTATGGTGATCTGGCTTTTTGTGATTTCTCAGTCTTGCCAACTAACTTGCTTTTCATCTCCACTCCAGTTCGTTCCTCCACTTCAGTATTTTGCACCCACACAAGACATTCTGCACATGTTCAGTAAAGTGCTCTCCTCTTTCAGATTCTTCCTGAAGTTTTACAGCTAATTTTTGGTCTAGGTCTAATTACAGCTAAACAAGCTGTCATTAGCAATGATGGCCACTCTTTAAATTTATTTAATTCAGCTGTATACCAGTTATTCCTTCCCCTTTTACTGGCTCATGTGGTATTAATCTTTCTCTGTTTGCATTGCTTAGAATTGAAGGTGATAAGTCCTTTCAAAACATTTAAAGGGGACATTTCAGTGCTCTCTGTCTTGTACACTGTCTTGTATAGAGTAGAACAAATTCAGATCTGGATTCACTGCACATCTTATTATGAAAAAACTTTGAGAAAGGAAGATTTCCATATAGTAGTTATATCTAACATGGAAGCATGGAATGGAAACCACTGCAGTATTCAGTGGAGGGACTGGGGGAAGGTTTGAACAGAGTAATGGCTTGCTCAGATATTCTCTAAGTGGCTGATAGTGTGTATGATTTCTGTGGAGATTGCTAAACAAGTTACTAAGAATTATTTGTTCCTTGCTGGAAGGTGACTTGGAACATTAAAGAAGACTGTATTGTAAGATACAGTGCAGGAAAGCATGAAGGAAAGCACCACTTCTTGACTATTTTTAGTAGCATGTTGAAGAGCTCTAGAAGTAACACGGGTTCCCTCAGGCTGCCCAGTACAAACTTCAGGCCAGAATGTTTCCTGTCTCTGGGGAGTGTGTCTGCATGGGAAGATACAAGGATTATAAACTAGACACTTATTATTGATTTTAGTCAAATCAATGAATGTATTGAACTTGGAATCTGATCTCTTTCTGTTTGGTGTCTCCTCCAGAGGCACAGAGGATGTAGTGTCTCCTCATGGAATACCACGGGACCTGCTGGATAGAGTAATGATTATCCGAACTATGCTGTACACACCCCAGGAGATGAAGCAGGTATGCACAACACTAGTCCACAGGGGTGACTGCTATGTTTCTGCATATTCTCTTACTACAGAGCTGTTTGACACTCTTTGGTCACCAGGGTTGCTGGCAGAAAGCTTCCTGCTTCTTAAATACATGCTGCTTTTGTAACCATTTACAATAAGCTGGGTAAAACTGTCCATGTCATTTCTCCGATTTCCACCCATTGATGAATTGAGTTGGTAACCTTACCTAGGGCTGAAAATGACAGCTCACTTGCATGAAATAGCATGAATGTTACCTAACCTCCTGTCTTGCAGAGATCTGCCTTCCATAGAGTTTGCAGTTGGAGCAAGTAGTACTTTTTCAGTTGGTATGAGATGAAGTGTCACATTTTGGGACCTGTGGTCCCAGATCTCAGGCTGTTTCTCCACACAAGAGATGAGAGGGATTGGGAAATTCCACTTTGGACACTGCATTTTTGCCCTGTGCTCTAGCTTTAACCTACTAGGGCTGTCTCCTGGAAGTGGGAGAATTTTCATGTTTCTAGTCAAGTTTGGAGGTGTAAGCACAGTAAGTATTGCAGAGATAGACTTTGAATGCCTGGAACTTTTCCTGTGGGGCCATCACAGTGTATTGTGTATCGATTATAATGCTTGGGTGCCATTATGATGCATCATGTCAAAGATCCCCCTCATTAGCGTCTCAATGCTGTGAAGTGACACAATGCAGAAGACATTAGGGTTTATCGTGTCAATTCTTTGTATTATTTAAGAGATAGTGTCAATGGAGGAGAGCATTGTCACAAGATAATAGTCTCCTGCTGCTGGATAAGTGCCAAGGTGAAGCTGAGGCATATATCGAATATAAAAGTAGAGGGAAAGCTTCATTTCACTTGGGCTGAGGAGCTTTTCACATTGACTGGTGTGAACCATTCTCAGGATGGTTTTCTTGTTCGTAAAAGAGCCCTTTAAAGCATAATGGTGTAGATCACAGGAGAAGCAGCCCAGTGATGTAATAATACAATTATGTTCTGTCTGTATGCAAAACAAATTTTAAAGTGTGACCGGTACTCTGTCTGGAGATGTTAAAAGCTGTGGTCTGAGCTTCCCTATCATGAGGGCAGCAGAAGTATGGACGTGGAGTTACTTTTTGTTAAGGTTGCTATCTCTAGTACCTGCCTAGAGTGCTGTATTATTGTGCAGATAATACACGGTTACAAAACTAGTTTCTAAGCTGTTGATCTTCAGAAGAGCTGGGTAAGTGCTGCAAATTCCACTCTTCCCAGGGGTGAGGGAAAACAAGTGTTTACAGCATCCTTTCCTAAAGCTAAAAATAGAGCCCAGACATGATGTTGCATAAGTTGTGTTCCCATAGCCAGATAATATGTTCCTCCCTTTAAATAAGGTTTTTGAATGACTTCTCTCAGGAGGAGGAGGAGCTATTACACTTAACTGTTTTCTAACTAAATACAGTTGGGAAGGCTGTTAAAAACAAGAGATCCATAAATGCATTCCTCTGTTTTTGCTCCCAGTTTTCTTTCATGCTAGGAAGAAGTTTTCACTGCTGATGTTTCTCTGTGAGACTCCTTGCCTTGGCTTTCACAATTGATTTGTTCATCAGCACAAGAATTGTTCATTTATCCACTGAAAGTTTGTTCATAACCAGCTCAAAATATTTCTCTATGATAAATTAGAAATCCCATTGTGTAGCACTGCCCTGAGAGCAGGATCCACAGCTTCCTTAGTGCAACCATAACAGGAATAAAACTCACTTTTGTGCAAACCCTAGTCAGGTGGTGTTGTATTCAAACTTTTTTGCATATGTGCCTGTTGTTAGATAGTAAAGGTAATAACTGGGTCTTTTTGTTCCTAAAGTATTTACCTGATAAACAATTCCTTTCCTACTTCATAGCAGCTTGCTCATGTCTGTCTTTGCTGGCTTCATGGCTTGGGCTCCCATCCTTCAGTAAGGTGCCACCAAGTTGCTAAATAAAAGTTACTTTAAAATGTTGCTAAAGATGTGTCATTCGAGATACCTTGTTTCTAGCAGGGGAAGAGTAAAGCAGCAGCATTGGAATGAAAGGAAAGTGATGTTTGGATGATGGGAAAGATAGAAAAAATCTTCAATCTGAAATTGCAGCAGCTTTGCCAATATTCAGTATTAATATTGTAGCACGACTGCCTGCCACTCCAAGCCCCTCCCTATCAGTCTGTTCTCTACCCTGACTCCCTGAGCACATTTTTATGGCTTTAATTTAAACGAGTGCTTCTTGATATCTTGTTTACAAAGCTGCCAAAGTGAAAAATACCTGTATTATATGAGACTTGCAGTTCCAGAGTTATCTCAGCACTACAACACAACATCATTATCCAGTCTGCCCCTTATCACTCAGCTGGTAATACAGACTACCCAGAGACTTGTGCCACTTTTGTTACAGCTTTATATGCTCCGGCTTATTGGTGATATCTTGCTTTGCAACTTTGTAAAGATCTTCCAACTGGTACAAGCCTGAAACTGTTCTTGAAAGATTAGATTCTTCTTAGTGATTTTTTTCTTCTTGCAGGAATAGGTGAATCGTAGAGAGTAACTTTTTGATTTATTTTACTATCATCTTGTCAATTGAATAAAAAGTGTTGTGAGCTGCTAAGGAAAGGGTGTAGCTTTCTGCAAGGCTTTTTGGAGGGTTCAACTGTATAGCAGCAATGATGTGCTGCAAAATTTATTGACTGGTGTAGCTGTCCACAACACTCCAGCTGTTCCTCATTTCCTGCATACGTTTCCATTTTCTTGTCTGAGTTCTCATATTCTACTCCTTATTAGTAGAATAACTAGTAGAATAACACTTGGCTAACCATGCAGAATTATCCTGAAGAGTTAGTAGTCCAGATGTGTTACTTTATCTCTCTTTTGTGGTAATCAGGTTTTCAACATTGTATTTACCTATTCTACAAATTCTAGTTCAGTGGTGAGTTACAGCAGGATAACTCTGCACACCATCTTGTTTCATAGCATGTCTCATCTTTAAGCTGACAGAGTTTCCAGATACTAAGCTAAGTGATATAAACATGCTAATTGTTTGGGCTGGTACCTCACTTACTCATTCATCCCAACAGATCATAAAAATTCGTGCTCAGACAGAAGGAATTAATATTAGTGAAGAAGCTCTAAACCATTTAGGGGACATTGGTACCAAGACAACTTTGCGGTAAGTTGAGCACAGTTGGCTTTTCTCTTAAGTGGGTCTAAAAACACTCACTCTTGGAAGTGAGACAACTCTCTCCCATACACCCGTATCACAGGATCACAGAATCCTAAGGGTTGGAAGGGACCTTGAAAGATCATCTAGTCCAACCCTCCTGCCAGAGCAGTCTTTTAAGGGCAGTACTAACATTAAAAGAGAGTTGTAATCCTCCTCTTTCCTCTTAAAGGAGGAATGTATGTGCTAGAGTGTCTTGTAGACTTTTTATACTGTTGATAGAGCTGAGTGTGTCCCAGCCGATTTCAGACCCATTCCATCCACTGGGATGTACTAAACTGTCATTATTCATCCCTCTCTGTTTGATTCCAGGTATGCTGTGCAGTTACTGACCCCAGCTAACCTGCTCGCCAAGGTTAATGGGAAAGACAGCATTGAGAAAGAGCATATTGAAGAGATAAGTGAACTCTTCTATGATGCCAAATCCTCAGCAAAAATCCTGGCTGATCAACAGGAGAAGTACATGAAATGAAGAGCTTGTCATGTTAGCTGCTTTGAAGTGGCTTTAACCCTTACCAAGGACTGGCTTAGCTATTGAATGAGAAATGTTAATGGTTTTTCTTTTGGGGACTGAAACATATTCACTGTTGGACTGCTTTGCTAGGCCAGAATTAACTATCAATTGTTCCTGTTTCATTATCAACAATAAGATGTTCCATGGTGTCTGTGTAACATCTTAGTCTCCCTTTTATGAGTATGTATGAAATGAATAGTTCTTGACCCAGTTTTGTCTTTAGATTTCATTACAAAAGAGCTCTAACTGAAGTTGATTCTAAAAACAGTCTATTTTCTTTATGAATGTTGTTTTAAAATAGGTTCCTTTTACAGATGAGAAGTTTTGGGTTTTTTTGAATCAAAGTTTGTCTGAAGTGCTTTATAATAAAATATTACAAGAATGCTGGAAGCTTTCCTGTGTTTTTCCTGGGCATTGGCCTTCCTAAAGAAACAAATCAAACTAAGTTGGGATTAACAAACCAAATATGAGTAAAACACAAAAGCAGATCTACAGCAAAGGAAAGAAGTAGTAATGGAACACTTTTTAAGTGTTTACTTTCTTGTAGATCTGGATTTTTATCACTTCTGAAGACTTTGAAGAATGCAGAAATATATCATCATCATCAACCTATTTAGAACCTTTCTTCCAGAGTAATTTATCCTTTGGGTTTTCTTAAAGCAGATTAAATAAAAACAATTTTCCATCATTTTTCACTATATTCTGTCCCCCTTTTCTTGAGCACCCAGAATCAGAAAAAAACTGCAACCTAAAAATGTATGAATGCATTAAAATGAAAGTTATCAGAGTGATAGTGACAAGAATAGCCCAGTAATTAAGGTCTGAAATCCTGCTCTGCACAGACTTGGTGTGAATTAGCCATTGTCTCTTGTTCACAAAGTATGCTCCCTTGGTCTCTACAGCACAGACACTTGATTGCTTCACGGCACCCTGAGGATAAATGACTTTAAGAAACTTGTAACACCAAAATACAAATCTCTGCAACCATGTAAATGGATGAACTAGGGGGAAAAATATAGTTATAAAGTGATTAACTTCACATTCTCTAATAGAACCTTTAGAGATTTAAAATACTTCATGTACACTTAAATAAGTGTAGTTCTTAGGGTGGGGTGGGACAGGAAGAAATAACTTGTCACAGGAGCCCATTTGTAATAAATACTCCTTTTTAGCAGCTGCAAAGTAGAGAAGATGAGTTTTTGATTTATGCTTTTAGCTCAAAAATTTTAAACCACATTCCTAAATGAGGAGCTTTCAGACCAATACCAAACATAGAGCTACTGAGCCTCCTGTGACTTCTTCACAGAAAGTCATGGGCTTATCGCGCTGGGGGAAGTTCAGCAATATTAGACAAACACTGGCAATTGCTTTTTTTTTCCTCAAAAAAAAGGTGGAAAACACTTCTGTTACTCATTTTGGTTTCCTAAGAGGTTTTCTTCTAAGATTTGCTGGTAGTTGGAGAAGCTAAAATTATCACAGAGCCCCAGCATGCATGTTTATTTAAAATACATTTGCATGGCTTCATTGCTATGTATCAAATATAACAAAGCTCCTGTGCTCAACTGCAGAATTCTGACTTCTCATGTAAGCTCAGTCATCATCTTTTTGGGGAAGGAATCCAGCTGCTAAAAACCTCTGTCCTCACCTCTGTGTGCCCCAGAGGCTGGTCCCTTCCTTGTGCTGAAGTGCTGCCTGTGGAAATTGTGAATGATTTTTCAGCTCTGAAAACGACTGAACAGCAGAGGCTGCTGCCTGGAGGGAAGCAGGGCTGGAAGGAAGCTGGATAGTTTGGATTTAATCATGTTTTGATCACATTCTGCCATCTCAGTCATGCAAAAACCTGCCCCATGCTTCAAAGTAAAATTCAGTACTCTGTCAGCCAGCCCTAATTAACTTCTGTACTTTAAATAATCCATCTACTCCTTTCTTTACATCTGCAACTAAACAGCAGTGACAGATATTTAATGAATGATTTTTGGTTTATCTGTGAATATTTTTGGCCAAGGAGCAGTCCTGCTTTCAAACCTAAAAACCCTCCCACTAACTCCAAATGAATGAAACTACCACTGGTTTCCACAGCTCCTAAAACCTCCTTTTCCTGCAGCAGGATGGCACCTGCTGTCCAAATGCTCTGACACAAAGGAAAGAGATGCAGTGAATTAAGCTGCTGCGTGATCAAAATGGAACTTTTTTTTCCCCCTTTGCAGTTTGGGTGATTAATGTAGTTATTTACAAATATAAGTACCATTTTTCTTTGAGCATTCTGAAATACCTGACTGATCCATTTAGAAAGAAGTTTTAATAAGCCTTAAATAATTCTGAATGCCAGTGCTGCTCAAAGCCCCAGTCAACGTTTGATGATACTGGCCTTTTACTGATACAGTTTGGCTCTGTTTGCACAAGAAGCAAAAGACCTTCTGTGGCAGTGAGGGGTGGTGTCTCCTGCAATACTGAAATCTTAAGACCACTGTTCTCACTGCCTACCATTGGCAGGAAAGGGCAGAAAGTTGTTTTTCCTTTGGTAAATCAATTCTTTCTTTGCTTACAAAGTATTCTTTATAAAAATTCAAGCTCTGTAGAACTGAGAAGAAATACCTCCCAAGTAGTTAACCAAGTGATCTATGAAACTTGAGCTGCATCACCTACCAGACCTCAGCAAGCAAAGACCTAGGAAGAAGTGAGCCACACACTGCAAATCAGCAGTTCCATCCAACCCTAGTTCCATAGCTGCCTTCAGGGTTGATGATACCTGTCACCTGAGACTGCCTGCAGGTACAGAAGCACACTTTAGGAAGCAAAAGATTTCAAAATACACATAGGGAAAGCAGCAGCAATCCAGCTGAAGTGGCATTCTGCCAAACCTCTGCCAATTAAAAAAAAAAAAAATCATAATGCAAGACCATCCTTACATCTGCCAAGTTAGCACAGCAGTGACTGATACCAAACATTCCCCAGAAAGGAGCAAGACCCCTTTAATGTGCAGCTCAGAGGGGTTATTACCTACCAACCTGCTGCTCCTGAACCCTCAGCTCTGCTACCGAAGGACATGACTTTGTGCAGATCAGCTCTTGACAAGAAGGGCCTCACTTTTCAGTTCTGCACATAAATGTTCATACAGCAGCAAAGGAGGCCCTGCCTCGTCTCTGGCCACATTCTGGAGAGCTCTCCCAGGGGTCCCAACTCTCTAGTGGCCGTTAAGTGTCTGGGGAAGATGTAAAGCTGTGATATAAAGAGAAAATTCTTCTACACTAAGTGGTGGGCGAAGGTTTCTCTAGCCTATTAAGTGCTGTCCAGCAGAATTATTGATGTCAAAGCTTTGCCCATGAAAATAGTCTTCCATAATAACTGATAAACATAGTTCTGTTGAAAGCATCACTGCACCATACACAATAACTACAGATGAAGGACCTTTTAAAAAAACAAACCAAAACCAAACTCACTTGACACAAATCTGCCCCTTGAAGTGGGAAGGCACGTGCAGCGAGGAACATTCCCACGGAAGAGGTTTGGTTATTAATATTACATGTGAAAGAACAAACTTATTTTAATTCTTTTCTTCCTATTTTCCACAAAGGTTGCACTTCACACATTAATCTTCTAAGCGAAGTTTTTACGACCGATTGCCTGCACACTGGGAGAAGTTTCTCCATCCATTACTCGCAGGGAAATGGGCCCTGCTGTGTAGGAAAATATTTGTTACATCTTATCAGGGTGACACATAATCTAACAACAATTACAGCAAGCCCATATTTTGTACTATTTCGGTTTCAACGTGAAAAATAGTTCTAATATTAAACCTGGGGGTGGGTGGGGGTTATAGTAACCAGTTGAATATTATAAGCTGTGATTTCCTCCCAGCGTGGAGCAGGGCCACACTCGGATCCTGCCCTGAGACAGGGAGTGCACATAAATCCAGTGTACGTGCCTCCTGTGCAGATGCCATAATGTGGCAGCAACTGAAAGTTGATTCCCTCTTTTTTATACATCCCGAGGTCAGAAATTGCCAAGAGTTTGGTTTTTATGTGGCCAAAAGCAACTAAACCTCAATTAACCTTCATGAGAAAAGCAGGAAATACTCTGAAAACTGAGCCAGCAAGGAGACCACTGATATCAAGAAACCTCAGGACCACCCACCTCCTGAAATCTTTTCTCTCAAATATTGGTCCTGATGCCCTCAATGGAAAAACTTTGTGACTCCTTTCTTGCCTTGGCCCTTACTGTTTGAAGCTGAGGTACCAACAAACAGCACCAGGGTGCACACAGAAGCTCACAGCAGGGTAAGAGCTTTGCTGAGGGCCCTTAATACCCTAGTAATCAAGAGTCATTACCAGCAGGAGTTAATTTTAAGCCACTCTTTTTGTCCAGGCTCAAAGCTCCCAGAAGCAAACATGAGCTTTTCCTGCCTAACATTTTGTTACCTTTAAAAGGAACAAATCAGGTGCCCAGCTCTGCCAGTTCTGGGAGCTGGGCATAAATACACTTGGACTCTCAGTTCAGCACCTGTATCTCCTCTGCTGATTAATAGCTTTGGAGTCTGTGCATCATTGTACATATTTTAATTGTGCACATCCAAGCAAGTCATTAACATCAGACAAAGAGACAGCAATGATATCCTGGGAGTAGACAAGGTTACAACAGCAGAATTTATTTAAAGGGAAGATTTTGATGAAGTGAGCAGGCTGGGGACAGAGCAGAATTTTATTCCTTTAAACGATAGGAATTAAGACATAATTTATTTTTACTACAAACATTTTCAATGACCTTCATCAGGGGTTTTATGGGGGGGTGTCAATTAAAGATTTCCAAAGAGGAGAGGACCTAACCCTACTCACTTGACCTTGCAATTATGCAGCCTCCACAGCTCTGCTGGGGTCCCAGCCCTGGTTTCCAAAGCGGGCACCAGCCCCTGACTCTGCCACTGTCCCACTTCACTGGCCAACATCCCTGTCACTCTGCCAGCAGAACCTGTGATGGTTTGCTGGTGTAAATGGCAAAACAAGAATGTTTTAGATCAGAAATCAGGTATAGGAAGGGGCGCAGGGGCAGCAAGGAAGCAAAGAGCATGTTCACATCTGCCTCTCAACATCTGCAGCTGATGCTCGCTTTTTCTTTTCCAAAGGAAGCAAACTCACATCCTTGAATTTGCCATGGAAAATGGGATATGGCACAACTTGAGATTTTACTGCCTGCTCAGTCCTGATCCCACAGACCCACGTGGATCCTGGCCTGCCATGGAAAGTTGGAAGCCAAAGGGAGTGGCTCAGTGCTCAAACGGCAAAGGCCATTTGCCTGTTAAGGGCCTTTGTCAAGTGAGTGCCAGTAAGGACAAAAGCAGTATTCCCAGCAAGTGCCTGACCCCCTTGGCCTGGGGCTCCAACCCTGGCATTGCC